AATACAATCTCTAAAAATTAGTGTAATTTTACTCAAAAACCTAGTACTGATTATGACTTAATAAAAAATTTCGATGCTTATCTCACACGTAGCAGTAGTGATGAGTATCACGCAAAAATATTCGATCACTCTTGATTATTCATGTGTAGATTTTCAAAACGTATATTTTTGTTTTAGAGAACTTCAAGATCATGTTCGACGACATCATGCATATGTACATTCGAGAATTGAATTTTTCGGTTCTTATCCGGTTTATTAAGGTGTATTGAATGTTAAGGTAATATAAATCATTGAAAGCTTCTCCAAGAATAAGATCTCTCTGGATTTCAAGTGTTTTTATCATGGAATTTTAATGTAAAACACAATATAACGTTTTGACTCATCAACAATTGTAATTTTCAAAAAGATGAGCCACGTCAGTGACATGATGGGAAATTACACTTGAAAAAGTTGATTCAAAAACAAAGATATTATAATAAGAAATTAGTTTCTGTGTACAGTCAAGTAATCATCTTTTACTTAAATTACTCTACAGTCTTCTAACCACCATTCATCCGTGGCTCGCATTAGGTTGACATATTCAGTGTAGGGAGTGCACATTTGACGATTTATGTGAATTGTAGGAAGAAGATGATTACTATGAATCAAGCCTCTCAACAAAGTCAGAAGCCGCCGATAAAAACTCGGACTAGTCGAATGAAACTCGCTAATAAGCATATTAGCTTGAGCATTGAGTAAATTTTGAAGGAGAGCTTTTGAACTTACAAATATGTTTCTTCGGAGTAATTGAAGAGCATCACGAATGAATGAATGAAAAAGATCACATAATGTAGCTAATCGTTGAAAGAAGAAGATGCTGATTGAACGAAAATCTAATTGATATGGATGAGCTCGATCGGACTGGTTCAAAAACAAGATCCATTCATTCGTTACAAATTTAGATGAAAAACTTTGATGAAAAGATGAGGCTATCATTATGAAACTTTCATAGGGAATACTTAATGTCGAGTAGAAATATTGAAGAGGACTAGAATAGTTCCTTGCGAGATTTTCGTGGATGGATTGAATTGAATTTTGAGTAATAATAGTCGTCGTTCGCTCAGATAACACATTAAAGAGAATGAATATAAAGATACATAGAATGAGTATAATAACATAGAATCGAGTGCTCCGATGTTGATTCTCTCGTTTATAATCGTCGGTAGCCGATTTATTATGATTTTCGAAAAAGTTCAAATCAACAATGTACCGCTTAATATAGTTCCAAATAGTTGGATAATGTGCAGCTACCATACTACTAGAATACGCAAATATATTTATGTCTGTGATGTAGTAGTCTTGAGGGTGTGGGTGTGGTTTTTCTTCTTGTATATCCACATCCACCCTGTAAGATGGTGTAACACAAATGACGTCAATGAAGAAGAAGAAGAATGTTGGTCGTAAGTATGTATTATAAGATCTCCTGTATTCTTAGGATATATACTACTTTAAAAATGTAGGTCAATGAGAATAAAATGATCTCCATTGCTTTAATTGAAGATTTTATGATATATGAAAGTTCTTTTCATTATAAGTCCTGCAACTCAAGATGGAAAATATATTATTTTTGGTGAACTTATACTTATGCAGTTCTTTAATGTACAGGGTGTCTCATAATTATAAGACCCCCCACTAAATTTCCATAAAAGTAAAGATTAATTCAACTAAAGAAAGTTTCATTTCTAATCTTATGTCACACCTATAGACATCTAGTAGTACTCTATCATATACCAT